ACAATCTACTTTGGGCACAGTCTACAAGTATTGCCAATGAAACCCAAAGCTCGCAGTGTAGCGCCATTTACTCAACTCAGCAACAACTAAATTATATCTTTTAAATCTAACATGAATTCAAATGCAATGGACAACCATTACCAGAAGCAAAAACCTGCCATAACTAAAAACAGTAAACCTGCTTCATATTGACCGGAAGTCGGGAAACTTAGAAGTTCGGAGAAAATAAGGGAGTCCTTGCAGAAAATTGGATGGGAGAATGTAAACAGCTCAAGCATGGGAAATCAGCTGGCTTTTAGGATACTTAGGCATTGAGGATTTCAGAGTCTAAGGTGCATCAAAATGCTGGAATTGATGGGGATGCTGTCGGGGGAAATTTACACTATAGTCTTTGGAGGGGGCGAGGACGTAGATGAGATATTTTAGGTTGGGTTCTGCAAGGGAAACGTCCATTGTGTTCTAGTGATTGCCTTGGTGGGTTTTATTGTTCTCATGAGTGCATCCCTATCTGGCTGTCTTTTATTGCTCTCATGAGTGCATCCCTATCTGGCTGTATTTTATTGCTCTCATGAGTGCATCCCTATCTGGCTGTATTTTATTGCTCTCATGCGTGCTTCCCTATCTGGCTGTCTTTTATTGCTCTCATGAGTGCATCCCTATCTGGCTGTCTTTTATTGCTCTCATGAGTGCATCCCTATCTGGCTGTCTTTTATTGCTCTCATGAGTGCATCCCTATCTGGCTGTCTTTTATTGCTCTTGAGTGCATCCCTATCTGGCTGTCTTTTATTGCTCTTGAGTGCATCCCTATCTGGCTGTCTTTTATTGCTCTCATGAGTGCATCCCCATCTGGCTGTCTTTTATTGCTCTCATGAGTGCATCCCTATCTGGCTGTCTTTTATTGCTCTCATGAGTGCATCCCTATCTGTCTGTCTTTTATTGCTCTCATGAGTGCATCCCTATCTGGCTGTCTTTTATTGCTCTCATGAGTGCATCCCTATCTGGCTGTCTTTTATTGCTCTCATGAGTGCATCCCTATCTGGCTGTCTTTTATTGCTCTCATGAGTGCATCCCTATCTGGCTGTCTTTTATTGCTCTCATGAGTGCATCCCTATCTGGCTGTCTTTTATTGCTCTTGAGTGCATCCCTATCTGGCTGTCTTTTATTGCTCCCTCATTTTCTGATCGATGAACTGAAGTAAGGGATGTAATCACAGAAACAGAAACTGAAATATGTCCGACAGCAGTTATTTCTCTTGTGTGAGTTTCCATGAAACAGACAACCGTTGTGTCACACAGAGTGGAATGGTCGCCTGCTGGCCAGGTGGTCAAATGTTCGAGCCATCATCCGTGCCAGTTTTTTTTTAAACTGATCTGGGTTCTCAGGACAACTTAGACTATCATTCGCTCCTAGGAAATACTGAGAAGAAAAGAGAAGGCAGAAGGTGTGACACTGAATACATCAGACATCGAGTGGCTGATATTAGGTGGTCTAGCACCACCTGCCCGGTGCAACAACGGCGTGAAAACGGTTATTTTACCTTTTTGTTTCATGTAGGGAAGAACAGTGTTAAGGGACAAGTAATTCAATATACACATTACGAATACTGATAGAAAGATCAATGGACTTTATATTTGTGCTTTATAGATTGTACCAAAGCATTTGTTAAAATTAAACATTAGGAAATGATAGAAGTGTCAATCAATGTAGACAGGAAAGATCTCAGAATAATTAAAAACAGTTACTGGAACCAAGTAGCAGCAATTAAAGTGGGAAACAGATTGGGTACTTTTGAACAAATAAAACAAGGAGTAAGACAGGAATGTGTCTTATCCCCAGACCTTTTCTTTCTATATAGTGAAGTAAAATTGATTGGAATTAAAGAGAAAGCAGGAATAAGAGTTGGAGGATACAATATAAACAATGTGCAATGTGCAGACGATACAGTTTTGATAATTGTAAAGACAATTAATTTACAACTAACCACTGTTGGATATTGATACAACTCATAACAGTGCTCTATCTAGACCAACAAGCAGCGGTTAGAACAGATGGCGGGACATGAGACTGGTTTGACACCAAGCAAGGAGTCCGTCAGGGCTGTGTGCTGTCAGGGCTGTGTGCTGTCAGAGCTATGTGCTCTCAGGGCTGTGTGCTGTCAGGGCTGTGTGCTGTCAGGGCTATGTGCTCTCAGGGCTGTGTGCTCTCAGGGCTGTGTGCTGTCAGGGCTGTGTGCTATCCCCCTATTTGTTTAACCTGTACACTGAAAATATAATGAGAAATGTCAGAGATGATATAACCAGAGAGCAATGTGGTGCCCTAGATATCGGTGGTCATGAAATACCAGAGATCCGATATGCCGATGATACAGTATTGTTATCCATATCACAGACTGGTTTAGAAAGCTTAACAACCTCAACCCAAAGAAATAGTAAACATCATAACTTATAACTTACTATAGCAAAAACAAAGATAATAAAGATAATGCATACATTTAAAACTACTACGGAGAGAGAAATATTTATATATATATTAATGATATACATTAGGAAAGATTGAAGGTTGTGGAAAATTTTTAATATCTTTGGTCATTGATTACCAACAATGGTGACACAATGAAAGAAATTAAACGACTATCAATTGCTCTTCAAAAACAAAAACAACTGAATAAATTATGGAGTGGGACAAACAGAACTGCAAAAATTTGATTTCTAAGAGCATGCATCTTTCCCCATTGCAACATACGCCTGTGAGACCGGGACATTTACTAAATAAGCTGAACAGCGCATACATGCCTTTGAATACAAATGTTATAGACGGGTTCTAAGAATATCACAAGTAAAGAAAACAACAAATGCATCTATACTTCAAGAACTGGATATTGAAGAAGGTTGGCTATTAAAGACAATAAAACACAGAAAATGGAAATATTTTGGTGACCTGAAACGTCACGAAACTTTAGAGAGAACAATAATAGAGGAGTATATGTCTGGGAAAAGAAGAAGAGGAAAGCCAAAGAGAAGATGGGTGCTGAATGTGGCGGATGATCTCCAGATGGGTGTATCGGACGCGGGACATCTTGCTTGTGTTTTCCAGAAGGTTGTTATGGGAGCAGGTTAAATATGGTATACTTCAAGCTATTTTAGAGTTGCAAATGATACAGAACATATATTTCCTGGGAAATTGAACAATGTGAAGGGGGCAGATCCTGTATTGCTCAATCAGAAAAGACAATCAACTCTGTGTAAAATGATAAGTTATGGAGAAGAATGGGTTAAGGTATCGGAGAGCAGAGAAGAGCTGCAACAAGTGGTAATTAGCTTGGGAGGAGAATGTAAGGAACGTGCGGGGCGTTTAGACACAGAAGTTTAACGATGACACAGAACAACATTAGGTCAGGAGATTTGACCAGATAACCATGTTGGATCAGTGGCCAGGGACAGAAAGTGTGGACAGGGCTTCATTGTAAATGTATGGGTGGGTGGGGCTGGGTGGGGGGGGGGGGTGAATGAGAAGAACTTGGTATACGGCATTAGCACATTCAGCATAAGAATGACGGTTGGGGCGGTAAATACGACGTTGCGATGGGTGGAGAAAATGTTGTGGCACGGAACTGGTCGCATCAGTTCAGAGTTCGCAGATGTTGAGCATCACACAGATCATTTGCCCGGATTATGTAGGCGTGTTTGGGAATTAGCAAGAAGGTACGTTCGCTGGCTGTACTGGCCCCAGGCTGTCTGTACTGGCTCAACTTGAAGGGTGTACTGCAACTGCACAAGACAGGGAGATCTCTCGCCTGTGGCGCGAGGTAACAAGTAAAGAAGAAAATATTGAAAACCCGACTCTAGAGAGAAAAATGCAGCGGGAAGTGTCAGGGGGCTTTTGGCGCCACACATGGGGAAAGGCAAGACGACCAGTTAACCACATGACAACGGGTAGCACCAGTGTGGAGATTCTTTCCTGACTGTTGAGGAGGGAGACGGGACCAACATGGCTTGTCCTGAATAATGTAATGTGTAAAGCTGTAAATTATACATACACCAGATATTCTGGCGCATTTTCACTGACACTCTCATATAACAGACTATACACCAACATTTCTGTCCGGGAAATAAATATTGGCTGATATTGCTGTAGGGTCCCGATTACAGAGTTTGTTCAGTCTTGTACTATTTAAAGAACTGCAAACTAGAGATCCCTTGCTCCCCCGCCCCCTATATTTTACCCCCTTTTTTCCGTAGGCACACAAGAGATAAATTTCCAAGGCTCTGTTGGGAAAATGTCAATTGATTTAAAAAAAAAAATAACACATCCACAATTGTAGTCTCTACCATGTTTCCGCGCCGTTGTTTCCAGAACACTTATTGTTGATCTAATATTTAAATCACTATAAATAATTTAATTATACATTTCTCACACAAATGCTAATTAAATACATATTTTACACACATTATTTATAAGTAGACTATATAAGTAAATATATTTTCTTGTGAAAGAGTAATTGTAAAGAGCGTAGTGAAGTCAGAAACAGAGCACCTCCCCCAGCATTGGTTAGACAACAAGAAGGCGATCTGCCAGCAGACGGCGCGGGTCTTGGAAATTGTTTACTGCGATTTCTCTCACCATAACCATGATTTCAGTTAAATATAGCCGCCTAACTGTCACAGAACACGCCTTTGTTCAAGTAGACGTTATGTGATTGAACTATCTGTAAACTATTGCCTCGCTGGAGATAACTTTGCAGCCACAAAGTAGTGGAAAGCAGCAGAATAAATAAGTTATTCAATAAACTGCGAACGTCGTTTTTTTTTTTTTTTTTTACCTTATATTAGTTTTTACTTCTAACGCAAAACACACATATTTTGCACTCATGCAGATTGAATGACATTGAATTGTTCGCTGCAAAAACACTAAACTAAATAGAATCGTCAACTCGGTAGAGTTGAATTTTTCCTTCAATCTCTGATTGTATATATCCTTGATTACTCTGAGAGTCTGAGACAATGGCTGATAGCGCCAGTGAGTTGGAGAGTGACACCAGCTCCCTGGATGGTGGCCCCACTGTCAGTTCACAAGTACCGTCACTGGACAGCTTTGAGAAGCTGAAGAAACGAGTGGAGTCCCTGGAGCAGGAGAACAAGGTCTTGCGGATGGAACTAGACACTTATAAGTTGAAGTGCAAATCATTACAAGAAGAGAATCGTGAACTGAGGCGGGCAAGTGGCTATAGTAAGTGTGTCTATAGTAAGTACTTTGTACACCCATTAATATGTGCTGTCCCTCACAGCTTAAATTTTGTTTCATGTCCTGCCTGAACATTTTTACCAATGTAACCCCTTAATACTTCATTTTACAAGTCATTAGTATTTTGGCTATCCTCTCAATAATGGGCACATATTATGGTGGCCAAAAACAGGGCCCCAGTCACTTGTCAATTGCGCACTTCCAGCAACTTAATTTGCAGACTTCCGGCGACTACCGCCACCGCCGAGAGTATCCCCCACACCGCTTGTTCGGCGTGGATTGGGGCTAGACTAGATGGCTGGGACTCAAAGCAGAGCTGCAGGAGATGCAGAAGCTGCTGCTCGTGAGTCCCAGCCATCTAGTCTAGCCCCAATCCACGCCGCTTGTGCGGCATGGGGGATACTCTCGGCAGTGGCGGTAGTCGCCGGAAGTCCGCAATAGACATATGACTGAGGCTCTGTTAGGGTGTTTTTGCGGCCGCCATAATATGTGCCCGTTATTTGGAGGATAGTCCAACTTTTTGTTTTGTTTCTGTGTGTGTGTAATTATTGCATTTTAGAATGTATTAATTTCTGTATTCTTATAAATTGATGTGTTGATTAAGTAGAATTTACATCAAAGCACTCGAGAAACATCTATATGTGAACAGAGCAGCACTGGAGAAACATCTATATGTGAACAGAGCAGCACTGGAGAAACATCTATATGTGAACAGAGCAGCACTGGAGAAACATCTATATGTGAACAGAGCAGCACTGGAGAAACATCTATATGTGAACAGAGCAGCACTGGAGAAACATCTATATGTGAACAGAGCAGCACTGGAGAAACATCTATATGTGAACAGAACAGCACTGGAGAAACATCTATATGTGAACAGAGCAGCACTGGAGAAACATCTATATGTGAACAGAGCAGCACTTATTCTCAGAGACCAGATATTGAAAACTATGGTGACTCACTCTGGCACTATTATCCAGCTTTCGTCTGAAGTCTTCCCATGATCCCTATGTTGCTGCCAGTAAAAGTCAAAACAGTCAGGGACATATTTCCTCAACTTGGGGCAGACAAGTTAAACTTTCTTCATGAAGACCTAGCTCAGTGGCTCACAACCTTCCTAATGCTGCGACCCTTTAATACAGTTCCTCCATGTTGTGGCGACCCTTTAATACAGTTCCTCATGTTGTGGCGACCCTTTAATACAGTTCCTCCGTGTTGTGGCAACCCTTTAATACAGTTCCTCATGTTGTGGCGACCCTTTAATACAGTTCCTCATGTTGTGGCGACCCTTTAATACAGTTCCTCCGTGTTGTGGCGACCCTTTAATACAGTTCCTCATGTTGTGGCGACCCTTTAATACAGTTCCTCCATGTTGTGGCAACCCTTTAATACAGTTCCTCCTTGTTGTGGCGACCCTTTAATACAGTTCCTCATGTTGTGGCGACCCTTTAATACAGTTCTTCCTTGTTGTGGCGACCCTTTAATACAGTTCCTCATGTTGTGGCGACCCTTTAATACAGTTCCTCCTTGTTGTGGCGAAACTTTAATACAGTTCCTCCATGTTGTGGCGACCCTTTAATACAGTTCCTCATGTTGTGGCAACCCTTTAATACAGTTTCTCTATGTTGTGGCCACCCTTTAATACGCTTCCTCCATGTTGTGGCAACCCTTTAATACAGTTCCTCCATGTTGTGGCGACCCTTTAATACAGTTCCTCATGTTGTGGCAACCCTTTAATACAGTTCCTCCGTGTTGTGGCAACCCTTTAATACAGTTCCTCCATGTTGTGGCGACCCTTTAATACAGTTCCTCCATGTTGTGGCGACCCTTTAATACAGTTCCTCCATGTTGTGGCGACCCTTTAATACAGTTCCTCCATGTTGTGGCAGCCCTTTAATACAGTTCTTCTATGTTGTGGCAACCCTTTAATATAGTTCCTCATGTTGTGGCAACCCTTTAATACAGTTCCTCTGTGTTGTGGCGACCCTTTAATACAGTTCCTCTTTGTTGTGGTGACCCTTTAATACAGTTCCTCATGTAGTGGCAACCCTTTAATACAGTTCTTCCATGTTGTGGCGACCCTTTAATACAGTTCCTCATGTTGTGGCAACCCTTTAATACAGTTCCTCCATGTTGTGCGACCCTTTAATACAGTTCCTCCATGTTGTGGCGACCCTTTAATACAGTTCCTCCATGTTGTGCGACCCTTTAATACAGTTCTTCCATGTTGTGGCGACCCTTTAATACAGTTCCTCCATGTTGTGGCGACCCTTTAATACAGTTCCTCCATGTTGTGCGACCCTTTAATACAGTTCCTCCATGTTGTGCGACCCTTTAATACAGTTCTTTCATGTTGTGGCGACCCTTTAATACAGTTCCTCCATGTTGTGGCGACCCTTTAATACAGTTCCTCCATGTTGTGCGACCCTTTAATACAGTTCCTCCATGTTGTGGCAACCCTTTAATACAGTTCCTCCATGTTGTGGCGACCCTTTAATACAGTTCCTCCATGTTGTAGTGACAGTTTAATACAGTTCCCCCGTGTTGTGGCGACCCTTTAATACAGTTCCTCCATGTTGTGGCGACCCTTTAATACAGTTCCTCCATGTTGTGGCGACCCTTTAATACAGTTCCCCCGTGTTGTGGCAACCCCCAAGCAATTATTTTCCCTTATAACTTCAATGAATATGTGTATTCCGATGGTCTTAGGCGACCCCTGTGAAAGGGTCGTATGACCCCAAAAAGGGTCGCGACCAACAGGTTGAGAACTGCTGCCGTAGACAGAGCTAAACCTCACAGACTGAGAAAAGAAAGTTTTTCCGTGGTCATGCAGAAGACGTGTGTGCTTGAAAATACAAAATTGCGAGAAAGGGAGTATCAGTGTGTCAAATAACGGTCAGACTCTTGTAGGGTTCTGATCACATTGGGCAGGGAGTGCAGGGAGTGACCAGCTGGCACTGCAGAATCAGAACTTCCACAGTTGATGTACAACAGTTCCCACCCAGATAATGTGATACAGATGGTTCTGTATTGAGAGGCATCAGGGTTTATAGCAGAGGCAAATGAACAGCTCTAAATGCAATAAAGTCTGGCATATATCACCACATGATACTGAATGTTCTTTGAGAAGTAAGTTTCAGAGAACCAAGTGATGACTGTGAATCTGCAACCATAACCAGACTGCAAGAATAGCATGCTAGAAGAGGTTGGCCAAACAAGAACACCAAGAGGAAGGCCAGAGAATAATAATGAACCATCACAGAAATGGTGTCACCAGCCACTACACACTGCTGGATTTACTGAGAAGGGGATCTGAGCGTTTATGGACAAAATTGTTCAACATGCAGTGAGGATAATTTGTCTACTAACTCTGTGATACCTCAGCATCTAGTGCAGTCGGTGTAGCTTTCCATCACTTGAGAGCTGGCTGCACACACATGTCTCCATTGTAACAGACTCACAGAGTATGCCCACACACACAAAGGAAATTAAGGCCTGCACTTTCTATGGTGGCAAGCATTGCTTCACATGTCCTGGGTGCTGGCTTAGAGTGGTGAGTCCACCTTCAATGGATGGAGATGTTAGAATGTTGTGTCCACCTTCAATGGGTGGAGATGTTAGAATGTTGTGTCCACCTTCAGTGGGTGGAGATGTTAGAATGTTGTGTCCACCTTCAATGGGTGGAGTGTTAGAATGTTGTATCCACCTTCAATGGGTGGAGATGTTAGAATGTTGTGTCCACCTTCAATGGGTGGAGATGTTAGAATGTTGTGTCCACCTTCAATGGGTGGAGATGTTAGAATGTTGTGTCCACCTCCAGTAGGTGTTGTTCAAGAATGTTGTGTCCACCTCTAATTTGTAGAGTGACTTAGTATGTGGTGGCCATGTGTTTATGTGGTTGTGTCACTTGTGTTTTTGTTCTTGTGACTGTGTTTGTATTGTTTATAGGATTGTATTTTATATACTGCATGACAGCTTTAAAACCGTTCATTTTTGCCTCCACAGCAAGCAAAAGCAGAACAGGAAGAAGAGTTTATCAGCAACACATTGCTGAAGAAGATCCAGTCCCTGAAGAAAGAGAAAGAGATGTTGGCCATGAACTATGAGCAAGAAGAAGAATACCTCACAAACGATCTTTCACGCAAACTTAACCAGGTGTGATAATCATAGTATTGTTTGGTGCTTATCCAGGTTGCCATAGCCTTAGAGTGGTGACTTAGCCAGGTTGCCATAGCCTTAGAGTGGTGACTTAACCAGGTTGTTCTACTCTTAGTAGTGACTTAACCAGGTGTAGTCTCAAGGTTATGATGTAACCAGGTAAACGAAGCCTCAGACTGATGACTTTACCAGGCCATAATAACACACTGGCTGGTACATTTGCCTGCTGGCCCAGTGGCCAACGTTAACATCCCTGTTGAAGCAAATTGTTACTGTTGGCTTGAGCTGTCAGATTAACCCAGCCTAAAAATGAGAGGTAGAAAATAAGGTTGACATGGGTAGGGAGTGATAGGGAGATGGAGAAATTGGACTCTGCAATTTTCCTTTGCTTTTGTCTTTAGCTGTTGTCTAAAGGTGTCTGGTCTGGTCTGGTAGCCTTAGTTTCAGCTTCATAGCAACGGGTTGCCCCATCTTTGCTCCGCTCCTGTGCCAACGAAAAACACTCAGAATGTTTATCACAGTCCCTTGTGGAAAGATTGACAGACTGCTGTCTCAGCATACCTAGCATACACTCGCATTAAAGCATACGGTAGCCATCCGAAGTGCTAACACAAACAGTCCAACATTAGAAATGCAGTTCATCATTGATGATAGCAGAACTTGTCGCCAACAGTTCAGCAGTTGTCCACACCATCAATTTTAACCTGATACGGGCACCGCCAACATTGCACGCCATTTTCTGAATCTACAATTCACACCACCACGTTGGTCACAGTCGAAAATACATTCCAAATGCAATCCGCAACTCACAGGGTCACGCCATGCATTCAACTCAGGAGCTGGGCGACGAAACTATATCCAGTCTACAAATGGAGCAAAAATACTTCTACCACCGTCCGGCAGAAACAAAAAATTTGCCTCTGCTTCGAACAGCACCGCTGTCTAGCGTCCATTTCAACCGGAAGTGTGTCTAAAGGTGTGCTCTACTAGATGTTATAAACACTGCTGCACCGATGTTATAAGCACAGGAAACATCTGCATGTTCAAGAATGTTTATTCACAATAAACAAATTGTCCAGTCCTTGTCCCTACTCCTTTACCAAGTCCAACGTTTAATCGCACCCATATTCAGACGTCAACTATCCGAGCATTCACATACAAGCATGTGGAGGTTTTACATCTTTCACACCACATCTCTGGACAGGTAACTTCAGCCCTTTCCCTCGTGGTCTCTCGCCGCTAACTCTGAGTAGTAGCTGTTGATTATCTGCGTAGCTGACTCGTTGCTGAAGAAGATGTTGTCTTGAAGTATTCTCTGTCATCGTCAGGTATCCTTCCCATTTATACGGAATCACAAACATGTCCTCTCACTCCAACTGGCAAACACATACTGTCTAATCAGAACTTGGTTTCACCTTATAGCCAAGTGTTGGGCTTCACGTGGTCGTTCTCCTTGGGCTTCCCGTGGCAACACATGGGCGTTCCCCTCCTTGAGAACCTCGTTTTCTCCAAGTGTCAGGCTTCTCTCGGGTTTTCTGGTGACCCTCGGGTTTTCCCCCAACCTTCTTCATCAGGGAATCCCCGTGTGAAATATTCCACATTGCAGACTCAGAGGTAGAAAAGAAGGTTGACATAGATAGAGAGGGAGATGGAGAAGTTGGACTTAGAGGTAGAAAAGAAAATTTACATAGATAGGGAGGGAGATGGAGAAGTTGGACTTAGAGGTAGAAAAGAAGGTTTACATAGGTAGAGAGGGAGATGGAGAAGTTGGACTTAGAGGTAGAAAAGAAGGTTTACATAGATAGAGAGGGAGATGGAGAAGTTGGACTTAGAGGTAGAAAAGAAGGTTTACATAGATAGAGAGGGAGATGGAGAAGTTGGACTTAGAGGTAGAAAAGAAGGTTTACATAGATAGGGAGTGGGAGGGAGATGGAGAAGTTGGACTCAGAGGGAGAAAATACATTATAGGAAGAATCAGAAAGTTGACATAAAAGAGCATGATTATTTTAGCAGTAAAAATGTAAAAAGAAATGATTATAAGTTCTTGACTTTGTTCCCATGTTTACTTCTTGGACAGCTTCGCCAAGAAAAGATTGAACTGGAGGAGACGCTGGAGAAAGAGCAGGAGTGTCAGATCAACAAACTGATGAGGAAGATCGAGAAGTTGGAGGCAGATACTTACAACAAACAGCAAACTCTAGAACAGGTGATCCTTGTTGGCTGTATGCATTTATAACATCAGCTTCTTGTTCTCCTCCTCCTCTCACTGTTTTTGATTTATTCCGTTTTCATGATGAGGGTGACCATTGTCTGGAGCTCTTCTTGGAGGCCAGTCCAGCAGAAGACATTCTACAGTCTGTTGGCTTTCATAGCATTGAACTGTTATTGAGTCTTCTGCTTGGTGACATGTCCATACAAACATTCTCAGTTTGCAGGGAAATGAGAGAGCTGATTAACTGGCAGGGGAAGATGCCACAGAATAAACAAATACACAAATCATTCAATTAATGAGAAAACCAACTTCTCTTGTTCAGGGTGACTACCTTCTTACGGACAGATCAGAACATGCCATTATCCTGTAGCTGATTATGCAGCCATGTGTATATGAAAATTTAAGACTTGTGAATCAGCCATGTTCACATGTGGAGTGTTGCCCTAGATAGCAGAACACAAGCACCAAGACTACCCTGAATATGACACACTTAGGCAAAACTCCCTTCTCCCCCCCCCCCCCCTCCTCCCCCCCCCCCAAAAAAAACCAACAACTGTGGACAGTAAACTTTAGCACCACTGAATGTCACCTTCCCCCTCCTTCCCCCCCCAAAAACAACAACAACAGGGAAATGTAAATGAGAGACAAAGAAATGCAGATATAGGCAACTGATTTCAGAGGAACGAAAGAAAAAGAAGAAGTGTGGGTTTTGGGGCCCTATTGTAGGCAACAAAGGGAATAGACCCACTGCCCCCTAACGAGCATATTGTAAGAGTTGACTCATTAGAAATGTTTCCTTCAGGTCAAGAGTTCATCTGTGCAAGAAGCACAGGACTAACAGACTGCGTCAAAATAAGCCAGATCTGTAAAACGGATGTCCACACCAAAAATCAGGTAAAAAAGTGGATTAATAAAGAGAACTTTTGGCCAGAGTTTACAGCCAGTGAATGCGAAGAAGCAGAAGTCACAATTATACCTCAGCTTGTCCCTACTTTGCCTTGTTTTGATTTTCTTCTGTACCACATTATGTCCCTTATGTATCTCACCTTGTCTTTTCTGTATCTCACCTTGTCCATTCTGCACTTTGTTGTGTCCCTTGTATACCTCATCTTGTCCCTTCATTAACTCATCATAGACATGAAACTTGTCTAGTCTTTTCTGTATATTGTCTAGTACTGAACTTTTCCCCTTCATTACCTCATCTTGTCCATTTAAGATCTTATCTTGTTTATTTTATAGCTGAGACGAGAGAAAGTGGAACTAGAGAATTCCCTTGAACAAGAACAGGAGTCACTGGTGAACCGACTGTGGAAGCGAATGGATAAACTAGAGGCTGAGAAAAGGTCAACACATTTGCAGTTTTAAATAGATGGTGTTATTCACTGTGATTGCATGCTACTTCAGCCAGCGTTTGTCGTAGATTATTGTGCTGCTTCAACCAGCGTTTGTTGTAGATTATTGTGGGCTCTGTGGGGAATGTTCTCTGTTGACATCTCAGGAGTTTTTTTTTTTTTTACAGACATGGTCTCTACATTACAGTGTCAGTAATGTGGACATCAGGCACAGTCTCCACAACAGAGTGTCGCTAGTTAGATATTCTGCAGTCTCCACAACAGAGTGTCGCTAGTTAGATATCCTGCAGTCTCCACAACAGAGTGTCGCTAGTTAGATATCCTGCAGTCTCCACAACAGAGTGTCGCTAGTTAGATATCCTGCAGTCTCCACAACAGAGTGTCGCTAGTTAGATATCCTGCAGTCTCCACAACAGAGTGTCGCTTGTTAGATATCCTGCAATCTCCACAACAGAGTATCAGCAGTTGGACAGCATGCACAGCCTCCAATTAGAGTGACAGTTGTTAGACATCATGCACATTCTCCACTTTAGAGTATCAGAAGTTTATACATCCTGCACAGCCTCCAATGAGAGTGACAGTTGTTAGACATCATGCACATTCTCCACTTTCGAGTATCAGAAGTTTATACATCCTGCACAGCCTCCAATTAGAGTGACAGTTGTTAGACATCATGCACATTCTCCACTTTAGAGTATCAGAAGTTTATACATCCTGCACAGCCTCCAATTAGAGGGACAGTTGTTAGACATCATGCACATTCTCCACTTTAGAGTATCAGAAGTTTATACATCCTGCACAGCCTCCAATTAGAGTGACAGTTGTTAGACATCATGCACATTCTCCTTTAGAGTATCAGAAGTTTATACATCCTGCATAGTCTCCACATTAGAGTGTCAATAGTTTATGCATCCTGCACAGTCTGCACATTAGAGTGTCGGTAGTTAATACATCCTGCACAGTCTGCACATTAGAGTGTCGGTAGTTTATACATCCTGCACAGTCTGCACATTAGAGTGTCGGTAGTTTATACATCCTGCACTGTCTGCACATTAGAATATCAATAGTCAGATCTCAGACATCTCACTGTGATAAGTCGGTGTTCTTGTGAAGTTCTGTGCTTGTAACATGTTAATTTTTTGTAGTTCTATGCCAGTCACATGTGATTATTTGTAGTTCCAAGTTTGTGACAAGTGTATGTTTGTAGTTCTGTATTTCTGATGTGAATATTTGTGATGTGTGAATGTTTATGTATATTCCTTTGTGTGTATTTCAAGTGAATGTTTGATTATAGTTCTGTGTTTGTGACAAGTAAATGTTTGTAGTTCCATTTTTGTGAGAAGTGAATATTTGTAGTTCTGTATTGGTGATGTGAATATTTGTGATGTGTGAATATTTATGTATATTCCTCTATGTATATTTCAAGTGAATATTTATAGTTAGGCAGCATTTGATGTCTGAATCTGATGCATGTCGACAGACTGCTTCAGGAGAAGCTGGACCAACCAGTGTCTGCACCTCCAAGTCCTCGTGACATCCACACTGGCGACACTGCCACCAACTTGGTACAGCACATCGACAGCCTGAGGTCAGAGGTCATACGGCTGAAAGATCAGCTAAGAAGTGCCCAGCTGGAACGTAAGTCTTGTCTTGTGAATGTTGTCACTGTTTGGAACGTAAGTCTTGTCTTGTGAATGTTGTCACTGTTTGGAACTTACTCTTGTCTTCTGAATGTTGTCACTGTTTGGAACGTAAGTCTTGTCTTCTGAATGTTGTCACTGTTTGGAACCTAAGTCTTGTCTTCTGAATGTTGCCACTGTTTGGAACGTAAGTTTTGTCTTGTGAATGTTTTCACTGTTTGGAATGTAAGTCTTGTCTTGTAAATGTTGTCACCGTTTGGAACGTTAGTCTTGTCTTGTGAATGTTGTCACTATTTGGAACGTTAGTCTTGTCTTGTGAATGTTGTCACTGTTTGGAACGTAAGTCTTGTCTTCTGAATGATGTCACTGTTTGGAACGTTAGTCTTGTCTTGTGAATGTTGTCACTGTTTGGAACGTGAGTCTTGTCTTCTGAATGTTGTCACTGTTTGGAACGTTAGTCTTGTCTTGTGAATGTTGTCACTGTTTGGAACGTTAGTCTTGTCTTGTGAATGTTGTCACTGTTTGGAACATTAGTCTTGTCTTCCGAATGTTGTCACTGTTTGGAACGTAAGTCTTGTCTTCTGAATGTTGCCACTGTTTGGAACGTAAGTCTTGTCTTGTGAATGTTGCCACTGTTTGGAATGTTAGTCTTGTCTTCTGAATGTTGCCACTGTTTTGTACGTTAGTCTTGTCTTCTGAATGTTGTCACTGTTTGGAACGTAAGTCTTGTCTTCTGAATGTTGCCACTGTTTGGAACGTTAGTCTTGTCTTCTAAATGTTGCCACTGTTTGGAACGTTAGTCTTGTCTTCTGAATGTTGCCACTGTTTGGAACGTTAATCTTGTCTTCTGAATGTTGCCACTGTTTGGAACGTTAGTCTTGTCTTGTGAATGTTGCCACTGTTTGGAACGTAAGTCTTGTCTTGTGAATGTTGCCATTGTTTGGAATATAAGTCTTGTCTTGTGAATGTTGCCACTGTTTGGAACGTTAGTTTTCTCTTGTGAATGTTGCCACTGTTTGGAACGTAAGTCTTGTCTTGTGAATGTTGCCACTTTTTGGAACGTAAGTCTTGTCTTGTGAATGTTGCCACTGTTTGGAACGTAAGTCTTGTCTTGTGAATGTTGTCACTGTTTCCTCAAACAGGGGAGCAGCTATCTCAGAGTGCTGGGCTCTCAGGCGGGAGACCTGAGTTCAATCAGTTGTAAGGGGTTGAAATAGATTGGGGGGGGGTTTACATCGTATTCTGCACAGCCTTTAGCAACTGTACTAGCCATGCCATCATAACACTTTGGCCCTGTGGAAAGGGGGGGGGGGGGTTAAATTGTAAAATAGCTTGTTTGAACCATGATGAAGTCATGATGACATAATAATTCCCCTTCAGCCTTTAGTAATCTGGGTCATAATCACTATATGAGTCACTGACTGCATTTCTTTATGTTTTTGATTTAGCAAAAGCAGTTGTTTAATCATTTTCCTCATTCATGTTTGTTGATTACTCCTTTCGCATATTTAAGTAGGGGAAGGGGGTGGGTGTTTCAAAATGTATGTAAATATATTTGTTTACAGTTTGTTAGTGATATGTATTTTTTTAAGGATTTTGTTCTTGGAATTCCTAGCTTTGTGGGTTTTTACTCGAAGGGGTAACTGGGGCGCAAGGGTTCAACACTTAGGTTCATGAGCCACTTGTCTGACACCAGCTGAGACCTGGAGAATGCAGGCAGTAACTACAGTTCTTTACTCAGGCTGTAGATCTCCTTTGGTTGACTTGATCATGTGACATAAATGTTGCCCTGATTAGAACTATGAAACAGTAAAGAAGCCAGTAAACGAACTGTGAATAGTTTCAAATACAGTGGAACCTTGCTTAACGAGCATAATTCATTCCAGAATCATGCTTGTAAAGCGAAACACACGTTATGCGAAAAAAAATTCTCATATAAATTAATTTATAATACAATAATGCTTTCCATGTTGAAAAAATACTCACAAAATGTTATGTATAACATTTATTCAAAGAAAATCATATACATATTGTTAAGGAGAGTGAATCATTTTCATCTTTTCTTCCACCACGGAACGAACCCACCTGGAATGCAAATTCGATTTGCAGGAAAAAAATAAAAGTTGAAATATGGTTCATAGCTAAGTATTTGTTACTAGAAAGATGTCCAGAGACATTTGTTTTTGCTGACCCTTCAAAATTTGGCGAAAATGCAACACAGCATTATCATTAAATAAATTTGCAGCGTACATAGCCACTTCCTTATTAGGGTGATGCTTATCAATGTAAGATGCAACAGTTTCCCCCGCTTTAAGCATTTCTCTTATTTCTCCAGAATATTATTACTTTTCTGTTACCTCCTCCTCCTCTGACAAACTTTCCTCCAAAACGTCTTGCTGGGAAACACAATGCAACTCCATAAGCTCTTCGGTGGTCAGCTCTTGGATGTGCTCTTCCACAAGCTCTTCAATATCACTGTTATCCACCTACAATCCCATGATAGTGGCCAAAGACACAATCTTGTTGACTACAGGTTTCACAGGTACTGTCTCAAACCCCTCAAAGTCACATTCAACAATGCTCTCCGGCCAAAGCTTCTTCCAAGCAGAAGTTAGGATTTTCTTGGTAACCCCTTCACCAGCCTTGTCGATCATCTTGAGGCAGGCAACGATGTGGAAATGATTTTACCAAACTTTTTTGAGAGTGACGTTGGTCCCTGAAAACAATGCTCGAAGAATGCTTAAGTGTAGAACTTAAAGTTAGAAATAACTTGCTAAGCCGTGGGCTGGAGTAACAGAGTGGTGTTTTGAGGCTGAAACTGGATCTTGATCAACTTAAATTCTTCAGGGAGGTCATTTTGTAGGCCTGGTGGGTTCATATACATCTATCACAATATAACACAAGTTTGAGAAAATGTGTGATCATAAGCAACGCTACAATGCTACTAGAACGAGTGCTAAACACAGACTGATGTAACAGAATTCCCCTCTCCTCGCCACTCGTTATGCCAAACGTCGTTCGTAAAGCAAGTCATTCTTTTACAATTTTTTTTTGCTCGTTATGCGAATTACTCGTGATGAGAGGTGCTCGTTAAGCGAGGTTCTACTGTATTTGATTCAGCTTTATGTCCACACTATGGAGAGATGCTCCCAGTTCTTAGCCAGTATAGGACCTTGTTCTGTACAGTTTATGCCCTCACTGAATAATCCTGCAATGTTTAGGGCCCTCAATGAATAATCCTGCAATGTTTAGGGCCCTCAATGAATAATCCTGCAATGTTTAGGGCCCTCAATGAGTAAACCTGCAATGTTTAGGGCCCTCACTGAATAATCCTGCAATGTTTAGGGCCCTCACTGAATAATCCTGCAATGTTTAGGGCCCTCACTGAATAATCCTGCAATGTTTAGGGCCCTCAATGAGTAAACCTGCAATGTTTAGGGCCCTCAATGAATAATCCTGCAATGTTTAGGGCCCCCAATGAATAATCCAGCAATGTTTAGGGCCCTCAATGAGTAAACCTGCAATGTTTAGGGCCCTCAATGAATAATCCTGCAATGTTTAGGGCCCTCAATGAATAATCCTGCAATGTTTAGGGCCCTCAATGAATAATCCTGCAATGTTTAGGGCCCTCAATGAGTAAACCTGCAATGTTTAGGGCCCTCACTGAATAATCCTGCAATGTTTAGGGCCCTCAGTGAATAATCCTGCAATGTTTAGGACCCTCAATGAATAATCCTGCAATGTTTAGGGCCCTCAATGAATAATCCTGCAATGTTTAGGGCCCCCACTGAATAATCCTGCAATGTTTAGGGCCCTCAATGATGGGTCAGAGTCGGATACTATTTCTACCACCAGCACTAACATTTGTTGAGAATGTATGTGCTCTAACACTTGGCCACTTAAACTTGTCTGCTGCTGTGTAGTGACTGAGAGAACAGACTTGTTAGATTGACCACAGCATGATTAGATTATTTGATTCCTACTACACCAATTAGTTGTACTTTCTGAGTGAACACAGAGTTAATAGTAACATTCGAAAAGAACAAAAACTATAAATACTGAAGATAACGTAAATAATAATTATTATGATGTTGTCGCTCTTGACAGTGAGGTTGATCCAGTGAGTTTTGTTGTTGTTGTTATTGTTTTGTTTGCATGCCTTATCATCAGTTGAAGTTTTGTTCTATAAATATAATCTAGATGCTGAGAAAATGGCACAGTATGCACAAGAAGAAAGACACATCAGAGAGGAAAACTTGAGACTTCAGCGCAGACTGCAGCTGGAGATGGAGAGAAGAGAAAATTTGTGTCGCCATCTGTCAGAGTCAGAGTCCAGCCTGGAGATGGATGATGAAAGGTGAGTTCTGTGCCAACAGCTGGACCTATCTGTCATAGTCCAGCCTAGAGATGGATGATGAAAGGTGAGTTCTGTGCCAACAGCTGGACCTATCTGTTATAGTCCAGCCTGGAGATGGATGATGAAAGGTGAGTTCTGTGCCAACAGCTGGACCTATCTGTCATAGTCCAGCCTAGAGATGGATGATGAAAGGTGAGTTCTGTGCTAACAGTTGGACCTATCTACTGACCATTGGAACAATGTATGTGATTTGTCCCATGTTTGAGTGAGACAGACAATAGAAGTCTGTTGTTTGTCAGATATTTTGGTGAGACAGACAATAGAAGCCTGTTGTTTGTCAGATATTTTGGTGAGACAGACAATAGAAGTCTGTTGTTTGTCAGATATTTGAATGAGACAGACAGTATAATTCTGTCAGATATTTGGATGAGACAGACAATAGAAGTATATGTTGTAGCACACATTTGAATGAGACAGACAAAAGTAGTAATGCATGTTCTCCCCAGATTTGGATGACAGAGACAATAGAAGTAAATATGTTGTTTTTCAGATGTGTGGGTCAAATAGACAATAGAAGTAAGGTATATTATAGCAAATATTTAAATGAGACAGACAGTAGACGCTGTATTTGTTATAGCACATGTTTGGATAAATAATTCAAGCAGCAGATGAAAGAAGCATCAGATGGCTTCACAGAATATTCAATGCAGCATGGGTACAACAAACGGCCTCTATTGATTGGCAACATGCAATAGTTATACCATTGTGGAAGAACAAAGGAAGCAAACGAGAATGCGGTCAATATCGAGGCATCTCTCTTTTAAGCCATGTTGGCAAAATGTATGCCAAGATAATAGAAACAAGACTGAGACCAGTGATAGAACCATTGCTGGCAGAAGAACAGATGGGATTTAGGAGAAATAGAAGCTGCACAGATGCAATCTTCACACTTAAACAGTTAATAGAAAAGAACATTGAATACAATAAGAACTTATTTGTGGCATTCGTAGACCAGGACAGAGTCGACAGACAATTATTATGGAAAATAATGGCAATATATGGAGTAAGCGAACACCTCATCGAAGTGTGCAAAAGTTTATACAGGGATTGTAGAAGTGTAGTTAGAATAAATCAGGGAACATCTCATCCTTTCACAGTGACATCTGGAGTAAGACAGGGGTGTGTCTTATCACCACTGCTGTTTGTCACCTACATCGACAGTATATGCAAGAATGCCTAGCCCATGAATGACGATCTTAGTAAGATCAACGAATTACTCTTTGCAGATGACCAGGCCTTGATAGCAGATACAGCCATGAAATTGCAACAACATCTAACATCCATGAATGAAGAATGTAAAACAAATAATATGAGAATCAACACTGAAAAGACAGAAGTAATGTCAATAGGAAAAAAGAAGACAGATCTAAACATAGCAATAGAATACAAAGGCATTAAACAGGCATCTGAGTTTAAATATCTGGGAACTACATTTACAGAAGATGGGAAATTGGATAAAGAAATTGACATTAGATGCAGTAAAGCAAACCAAGTATTGGGACAGCTAGCCCCCCTCTTACAGCATAAGACAATCCCAATCAGCACAAAGAGACATCTTATTCAAAGCATATTTATTCCAACTCTGTGCTACCAGTGCCAGACATGGTCACTCACAACAAACCATAAAAGAAAATTAGTAACCACGGAAATGAGATGTCTGAGAAGGGCTGTAGGAGTGACCAAAAGAGATAAGATCAGGAATGAGATCATAAGAGAAAAAGTCGGCACAGAACCAATTCTGGATTACATACAAAGACAGCAAGTGAAACGGTTTGCCCACTTAAAGAGAATGCCTTGTGACACCATACCATACAAAGCATACATGGAAAGAGAAGAAGGACGTAGAGCACGGGGTAGACCAAGAACAAGATGGAAGGATAGCATCAGAGAAACTCTACAACAGCACGATGTGCCTATGGTCGAGGCAGCCAGAAGAGCTAGAAACAGAACCTTATATCTCCCTCGACACCCACATCGGTAAAAGAGGAAGTGAAGAAGAAGAAGACATGTTTGGATTAGATGGACAGTAGTATATGTGATAGCAAACATTTGGATGAGACAGACAATAGAAGTATATGTTGTAACACACATTTGGAAAGACAGACAATAGAAGTAGTATATGTTGTAGCACACATTTAGATAAGACAGACAATAGAAGTAGTATATGTTGTAGCACACATTTAGATAAGACAGACAATAGAAGTAGTATATGTTGTAGCACACATTTAGATAAGACAGACAATAGAAGTAGTATATGTTGTAGCACACATTTAGATAAGACAGACAATAGAAGTAGTATATGTTGTAGCACACATTTAGATAAGACAGACAATAGAAGTAGTATATGTTGTAGCACACATTTAGATAAGACAGACAATAGAAGTAGTATATGTTGTAGCACACATTTAGATAAGACAGACAATAGAAGTAGTATATGTTGTAGCACACATTTAGATAAGACAGACAATAGAAGTAGTATATGTTGTAGCACACATTTAGATAAGACAGACAATAGAAGTAGTATATGTTGTAGCACACATTTAGATAAGACAGACAATAGAAGTAGTATATGTTGTAGCACACATTTAGATAAGACAGACAATAGAAGTAGTATATGTTGTAGCACACATTTGGATGAGGAAAAAGTGATTATGATTACTCCCCGAACCAGTTTTTGCCACATTTATTATGTCTACATCTGTGTCAAATTGTTTCGCTTTGGAAGCTCATTTTTTTAAAGAGGTCTGAACAAAAAAAACTGCAGAAAAATCTGGACTGTAGGCTAGATGTTGTAGAGTCCTTTCTGGGCTAGTGATTACGGCACGGTCCTTGCAACATGCACATTATCATGCAGCACAATCACACTTTGAGAATGCATAATAGGACTTGTGTTAATAGTGATAGAGAAAATCATGATAACATTAACTGTGACAGAGGTAATCAAATTACATTAATTATGATAAGAGTACATTATAATTACATTCATTGTGATGAGAGTAAATCATGATTACAATCATTGTGATTGTGTCCCTGATTGTGGACAGACACTTCAATGAGTCGGCCAAGCACCATGAGCTGGGCTCCAGCAGCCATGGCATCAGACCCCGGACGGTGTCTAGCCCCATCCCCTACAACAGCAGTGGCCCCAGGTCCATCTCTCCAAGTAAGCACATGTACTCCATGTTCCTTTTCCATATCTAATGACCGATGGACACCAGACATGTTTTCTCTGGGTCAGGTGTTTAGCTTGTGTGGCTAGTTGCTACCAGTTGTCTGTTTCTTTCATCTCAGGGTACCAGTTGTGTCTTTATTTATTCTCAGGGTAACGTGTATTGATTTCTTCTCGGGGTACCGACTGTTTATGTCTTGTATTGCTTCTATGCGTACCAGTTGTGTATTTATTTATTGTGTGTCCTTTCAGGGTACGTATTGTACATTTATTTATTGTGTGACGTCTGAGTGTACCAGCTGTGTACTTATTTATTGTGTGTCCTTTCAGGGTACGTATTGTGCATTTATTTATTTTGTGACATCTTATTTATTATGTGACGTCTGAGTGTACCAGCTGTGTACTTATTTATTGTGTGACGTCTGAGTGTACCAGCTGTGTACTTATTTATTGTGTGACGTCTGAGTGTACCAACTGTGTACTTATTTATTGTGTGACATCTGAGTGTACCAACTATGTACTTATTTATTGTAGGACATCTGAGTGTACCAACTATGTACTTATTTATTGTGTGACATCTGAGTGTAATATTTATTGTGTGATGTCTGAGTGTACCAACTATGTACTTATTTGTTGTGTGACATCTGAGTGTACCAACTAAGTACTTATTTATTGTGTGACGTCTGAGTGTACCAACTATGTACTTATTTATTGTGTGACGTCTGAGTGTACTAACTATGTACTTATTTTTTATGTGACTTCTGAGTGTACCAAAGGCTAAATCTCGCACAAAATGGGACTAAAAAGCTCATCGAAGGGAATGGAAAAGATACACACAAACACAACTGAACGTTTTCTTCTTCTTCTTCTTCGATCCTTCTGTCAGAAAACTTATATCAGGAGGCAGGTAGCCTTTATCAAAGCTATCGTGCAATCCATATCCTCTTGTGTACCATACAGTTTTGTCTTCATTGTGGTTGGAACAGGCCAGATTGCGTCTCTGTTGTCAGCATACAGTTGACAGTGTTGGAGCACATGCTCAGCATTTTCGCGTGCCACGCTGCAGGGACACGTCTCCGTATTTCCTACACCGAAAAATTTGAACATATGTTGATGAAATCTGTTGTGCCCTGTCCTTAGTCTGAATATAATAGACTGTCCCTCTCTAGAGAGGCGATGAAGTGAGTCTTGGGGAGAAAATCTGGTGTGGGTATCCAGCCACTTTTCTTGGATACTAGATTGTATTAGTGTTTTCATCTCTTGGTGGGTTAAGTCGCTATTTGGTTGTACCATGTCACTGCCGCTTCTGGCCAATCTGTCCGCTATTTCATTGCCTTCCAAGCCACAGTGACCTGGAATCCACTGCAGTACAGATTGTTCTACTGAAGAGCCTAAGTAAATCAGCTGTTGCGTCAAGTCTACAAACTGAGTGTCTTTTGGGTTAACAATTGCTTGTAGAACTGACATAGCATCAGTCAGAAAGACCACCCTGCTATATTTGCTGTGCTGTTGTCCATTCAGGAAAGAATATGCCGCTAGAAGTGCTTCTGCCTCTGCTCTATAATTGGAGGAATATGAACCTGTTGGTACAGCCTGGTTGATTTTTAAACTATTTGGGCATTCTGTGTATATTCCTCCTCCTCCGTCTCTTACTGCTCTCTTGGTTGAACCATCTGTATACACTCGAATCCAACTCTGGTGTGGATAAAGTCTATTGATCTCTCCTTCTGTAGTTGATTTCATATCAGTGCTGCTCATTGATGATTTGGGGAAGACCCCTGTTACAGTGGTTCTGACTGTTGGTAGGCTATCCCTAAGCCAAGCGGGGCAGTCGTTGTAAGGTTAAAGTGGAACATTTGGTATTATACTGAACGTTTAGATTCAAGTCTTTATCAATGGTGTTCTAAATATGTTACAGACCGTGGCTAGAAAACTCAACGGGCAAGACAACAGAGCTAAACAAACAGAAACTAAGGGAAGCATGAAACCAAGAAGTACGTAACCAGAGAATAAAAATTATGTGATGGCTGTAAAACAAAATGAAATCAATCAGAGGACGTGTGTGAAAACAGGGGAAGATATATGAACAAGTTCAATGAATTAACAAATCAAATTAATTCAATTAAATAAAGCTCTGTTGGATATTGATCCCTCCAGGACTACGAATGCCAAAACTGGATGAAATGATTTTCTTATGAGTAGGAGCTGGTTTGATCACTAGAACAGGATTTAATAGCAGTGACTGAGATATCATTTTCGCCTTGGTGGTGAGAACTGTTGAAATGGAGGGAGACAGGTTTCAGGGCCTTATTACCAATGTTAGCAAGATGATCACGGAAGTGATCTGCTAGCTTCCTACCAGTTTCCCCCGCTGTATACATTTTTACATCTGTTACAGATGATGGCATAAATGAGGTTACCGGATTCACAAGTAAATGCTTCTCTAATATTAAAGAAACACTTGAGGAAGTAGACTGAAGCAGTTTGGATCACAAATGGACATGTTTTACATCGTGTACGGGAGCGTTTGAAAGTAGCTAAAATAATTGCTTTCTCAATTGGAGACTGTCTGCTTCTGACAAGTATGTTTTTAAGATGACGGTCTCACCTGTAGGTCACTTTAGGGTTGTCACTATTGATCTCCCTACTTTTATTTAACATTTATATAGACAGAATATCTAAAGAAGCAAGTTCTGATACAGACAAGATAGATCTTTGTAATCATGAGGAAGTACACACATCAGGAGAAGTTATCGATTCTACCACATTAAACGAACTACTTTTTGCTGATGACCAGTGCTTGTTCTACCCTGAAGAACATAGACTGCAAGACCACATTAACAGATTTAACTCAGCATGTAGTAAATACAACATGAAGATCAATGTAAACAAAACCGAAACATTGCAAGTTAGTAAAACCCCTGCCCGACTACACATACAGTTGAATGGTTCTGCTCTGAATCAAGTTAGGGAGTTTAAATATCTAGGAAGTATGATCACAGAAGATGGTAGAATTGACAGAGAAATAGAAACCAGATGTAAGAAAGCAAGTGCACTTATATACCGATTGTCACCATTATTAGGACATCTAAGCATTACTATGAGTGCAAAGAGACAGGTTAGTAACAGCATATTCATTACAACATGAAGCTACCAGTGCCAAACATGGACACTATCTAAAGCCCATATATGTAAAATGAAAACCTGAGAGAGGAGCTGCCTGAGAAAAGCAGCCAGCCTAACCATCCGAGATCACAATAATGAAACTATCAGGCAAACTGTGTAAATGACACATTGGTGTCCTGTCTAGTTTGTGCACTGAACTCATAGAGTCTGCAGGGGATTGGTGCACTCGTGGATTATGTCAGGTGTCAATAAAGATGACAGCTGAACCCAGCCTCATTGAATTCAGTAATTCCAATCTGTGCCTTGACCAGGTTTGACCTATGTTGCTGCCAAGAGTCCACCCAGTCCCAAGCGCCGCCCAGTCCAAGGACAAGCATTCCACCCACCAGCCCAGCCTCTTGCTGCAGCTCCAGGCCAGTCTATGATGCACCAGCCAAGTGGCTCCTCATCTTCAGTCTTTGAGACCATGGCATGTTCCAGCGTCCAGGTCAGTTCTCATCTCTTTTGTGTTTATACAAATTTGTTTTTGTGTTAGTTGGACTGTTGTCTCGCATCTCCTTATTTTATCTTCCATTCTCTGTTGTACTCTTCCCTAGCCATACAAGTAAAATCTTCTAGTCATACAAGTGTAATGGTATCTTGGTCTGCATCCGAGGGCCATCTTAACATTATTGGCCCCCAGGAAAACCCAGTGTGCTGGAGCCCTTACAACAGCCATTTCAATATCAATGCTCAATAATATTCAACAAGTATTTTTTTTTATGGCCTCTTCATTCAAACTGATGTTAAAGCTTAAACATAAATCAGATGGCACAGTATGAAGTTACTATGAACTTATTATTGAAACAAGTATGTGCTGCATTTCTTTTCTGAGAATAGCTTCATTATTGGCTTGCAGTCAGTGGTTTTCATGATGTTATTTTCCGTGCACATCAGTGAAAGCCAGTTCAAGCCAGTGAAAGCCAGTTCAAGCCAGGCTAACACATTGTGCAACGAAGCACATTTTTTAAAATAAGTTTCAGTCTGGAAAGAATGTATTTTCTGTACACACTGAGGACAATTTCAACATTTGGGAAAACAGATTTCAAATTGTCCAAAGTAATTTTGTCTGTACAGTGCAAGGAGAGTCTCACAATGTTTGTTCAGAGCCATGTAGTGCTTGAGATACTCACATTCATTTCAGAGATCATCTTAATTCAGGTCTGGACAAAATGCAGAACACTGGTCTGGTAATCATCACTGGAGGCATGAGAAGTACACCAGTCATTGACCTGGAGACAACTTCTGTCCTTCAGAGCTTCAGACATTGAAGGGAAGAAACGTTCTTTACTCTGATAGAAAAATGTCAGTGCAAACAAAAAAACAAAAAAAAAAAACAACAGGAAAGACAAAAGTTTTCATCTTTTATCAAATTTGTTCTGGGCCAAAAACCTAAAGACCCATTAATATGGGAAATGATCTAGATGTATAACATAAACCTACAGCCTAACTATACAATGGCAGGCACAGACAGAAAGACTGAAGAATGTGACCTGTTCAGGAAAACAAACACCATTGAACATGTCCACAACTCTTGCCAAAAACCCACATGTATCCTTACATACACTGATGGCTTGTTGGAGTCAGCAGCATGGATCCTTACATACACTGATGGCTTGTTGGACAGCATGATGGCACTGTTGGAGTCAGCAGCATGGATCCATACATACACAACTGGCTTGTTGGAGTCAGCAGCATGGATCCTTACATACACTGATGGCTTGTTGGAGTCAGCAGCATGGATCCTTACATACACTGATGGCTTGTTGGAGTCAGCAGAATGGATCCTTACATACTCTGATGGCTTGTTGGAGTCAGCAGCATGGATCCTTATATACACTGATGGCTTGTTGGAGTCAGCAGCATGGATCCTTACATACACTGGCTTGTTGGCTCAGCAGCATGGATCCTTACATACAGCAGCTTGTTGGAGTCAGCAGAATGGATCCTTACATACACTGATGGCTTGTTGGAGTCAGCAGCATGGATCCTTACATACACTGATGGCTTGTTGGAGTCAGCAGCATGGATCCTTACATACACTGATGGCTTGTTGGAGTCAGCAGCATGGATCCTTACATACACTGATGGCTTGTTGGAGTCAGCAGCATGGATCCTTACAGCATGGATCCTTACATACACTGATGGCTTGTTGGAGTCAGCAGCATGGATCCTTACATACACTGATGGCTTGTTGGAGTCAGCAGCATGGATCCTTACATACACTGATGGCTTGTGTTGGATGGTCAGCAGCATGGATCCTTACATACACTGATGGCTTGTTGGAGTCAGCAGCATGGATCCTTACATACACTGATGGCTTGTTGGAGTCACAGCATGGATCCTTACATACACTGATGCTTGTTGGAGTCAGCAGCATGGATCCTTACATACACTGATGGCTTGTTGGAGTCAGCAGCATGGATCCTTACATACACTGATGGCTTGTTGCATGGATCCTTACATACACTGATCTTGTTGGAGCAGCATGGATCCTTACATACACTGATGGCTTGTTGGAGTCAGCAGCATGGATCCTTACATACACTGATGGCTTGTTGGAGTCAGCAGCATGGATCCTTACATACACTGATGGCTTGTTGGAGTCAGCAGCATGGATCCTTACATACACTGATGGCTTGTTGGAGTCAGCAGCAATAAACTGAGGGCTGGTTCAATCATCATGCTGTCAGATTGGGCCATGGTAGAAAGGTCATGTGCCTCCCTGAAACAGCAAACTTCCCAGCAGTCATTGATGCAACAAAACTGCTTCAAGTCAGAATAAAATAAAAAAGACAGCAAAATTGTTTGCCTGTGTTACTGCATGTCAAGCCATCGGGCAACTGAAAGGGATCCATGAGACAGCATGGACAGAAAACTGACCTGCCAAATAAGTGAACTCAGAAAACAATGAAATTGGATCCTGGCTCACTGCAGTATAACAGCAAATGAGTTTGTGGACAGACTTGGTGGGAACAAAGGAGGAAGACACCCATTATTTGTCATTACCAGAAATCAAATCACTTGTCGGGGGGAAATACAAGGAATTGTGGATAGAACAAACCAATAGTCAGCATCCACTAGACCCCATCAGCAAGAAATGTTTGTTTAAGAACAGGACACTGCAGGCTCAACTGTCACATGCATAAAATAAAGACTACAGTCACCACCCTGTGCCTGTGACCTGAGACCAAAACATCTGAGCACATTCTACAGGCCTGCCCACCAACAGCTACAAAGAGAAACCTGGCCTCATGAGCAAAGTGTGCAAAGCAAGCTATGGGAACCCACGAAGGACCTGCAGAGAAACATGCAAGTTGACGGAGGCAGCCTACCTGAGAATCTGACCTCAGCACACTCAACTGAAAGCCGGAAAGAAGAAGAGAGGCAGCACACAGTGTCGTGAGTCATACAAGTTTTGAATGTAAGTCTGTCTTGAGCCAGCTTGAAGGCTGCCCATGAATTGACTAAAAGTCTGCCCACCCTCAGTGTTGGGTATTCTGTCTGTCTGCCCCCCCCCCCTCCTCAGTGTTGCATATTCTGTCTGTCTGCCCACCCTCAGTGTTGCATATTCTGTCTGTCTGCCCACCCTCAGTGTTGGGTATTCTGTCTGTCTATCTGTCTATCTGCCCACCCTCAGTTTTGGGTTGTCTGTCTGTCTGCCCACCCTTATTGTTGGGTATTATGTCTGTCTGCCCACCCTAAGTGTTGGGTATTATCTGTCTGCCAACCCTCAGTGTTGGGTATTCTGTCTGTCTACCCACCATCAGTGTTCGGTATTCTGTCTGTCTGCCCACCATCAGTGTTTTGTATTCTGTCTGTCCACCCTTAGTGTTGGGTATTGTCTGTCTGCCCACCATCAGTGTTGGGTATTCTGTCTGCCCACCCTCAGTGTTGGATATTCTGTCTGTCCACCCTTAGTGTTGGGTATTGTCTGCCCACCCTCAGTGTTGGGTATTCTGTCTGTCTGCCCACCATCAGTGTTGGGTATTCTGTCTGTCTGCCCACCCTTAATGTTGGGTATTCTGTCTGCCCCCCCCCCCTCAGTATTGGGTATTATGTTTGTCTGCCCCCCCCCTCACCTCAGTGTTGGGTATTATGTCTGCCCACCCTCAGTGTTGGATATTGTCTGTCCACCCTTAGTGTTGGGTATTGTATGTCTGCCCACCATCAATGTTGGGTATTCTGTCTGCCCACCCTCAGTGTTAGGTATTCAGTATGCCCACCCTCAGTGTTGGATATTCTGTCTGTCCACACTTAGTGTTGGGTATTGTCTGCCCACCCTCAGTGTTGGGTATTCTGTCTGTCTGCCCACCATCAGTGTTGGGTATTCTGTCTGTCTGCCCACCATCAGTGTTGGGTATTCTGTCTGTCTGCCCACCCTTAATGTTGGGTATGTCTGTCTGCCCCCCCCCCCCCCTCAGTATTGGGTATTATGTTTGTCTGCCCCCCCCCCCCTCACCTCAGTGTTGGGTATTATGTCTGCCCACCCTCAGTGTTGGATATTGTCTGTCCACCCTTAGTGTTGGGTATTGTATGTCTGCCCACCATCAATGTTGGGTATTCTGTCTGCCCACCCTCAGTGTTAGGTATTCAGTATGCCCACCCTCAGTGTTGGATATTCTGTCTGTCCACCCTTAGTGTTGGGTTTGTCTGTCTGCCCACCCTCAGTGTTGGGTATTCTGTCTGCCCACCCCCAGTGTTGGGTAATCTGTCTCCCCCCCCTCAGTGTTGAGTATTCTGTCTATGTGTCTGCCCATCCTTCCTCAGTGTTGGGTATTCTGTTTGTCTGTCTGCCCCTCCCCCCTCAGTGTTGGGTATTCTGTCTATCTGTCTGCCCCTCCGCCTCAGTGTTGGGTATTCTGTCTGTCTGCCCACCCTCAGTGTTGGGTTTTCTGTCTGTCTGTCTGCCCACCCTTAGTGTTGAGTATTCTGTCTGTCTGTCTGCCCACCCTCAGTGTTGGATATTCTGTCTGCCCACCCTCAGTGTTGGATATTCTGTCTGTCTGCCCACCCTCAGTGTTGGATATTCTGTCTGTCTGCCCACCCTCAGTGTTGGATATTCTGTCTGCCCACCCTCAGTGTTGGATATTCTGTCTGTCTGCCCACCCTCAGTGTTGGATATTCTGTCTGTCTGCCCACCCTCAGTGTTGGATATTCTGTCTGCCCACCCTCAGTGTTGGATATTCTGTCTGCCCACCCTCAGTGTTGGGTATTCTGTCTGTCTGCCCACCCTCAGTGTTGGGTTTTCTGTCTGTCTGTCTGCCCACCCTTAGTGTTGAGTATTCTGTCTGTCTGTCTGCCCACCCTCAGTGTTGGATATTCTGTCTGCCCATTAGTGTTGGGTATTCTGTCTGTCTCCCCTTCCCCCCTCCCCCAGTGTTGGGTATTCTGTTTATCCACCCCCAGTGATGGGTATTTTGTCTGCCCACCCTCAGTGTTGGGTATTCTGTCTGCCCACCCCCAGTGTTGAGTATTTTGTCTGCCCACCCCCAGTGTTGGGTATTTTGTCTGCCCACCCCCAGTGTTGAGTATTCTGTCTGCCCACCCTTAGTGTTGAGTATTTTGTCTGCCCACCCTCAGTGTTGGGTATTCTGTCTGCCCACCCCCAGTGTTGGGTATTCTGTCTGCCCACCCTCAGTGTTGGGTATATTATCTGCCCACCCCCAGTGTTGGGTATTTTGTCTGCCCACCCCCAGTGTTGAGTATTCTGTCTGCCCACCCTCAGTGTTGGGTATTCTGTCTGCCCACCCCCAGTGTTGGGTATATTATCTGCCCACCCTTAGTGTTGGGTATTCTGTCTTCCCACCCTCAGTGTTGGGTATTGTCTGTCTGCCCACCCTTAGTGTTTGGTATTGTCTGTCTGCCCACCCTCAGTGTTCGGTAATCTGTCTGTTGGTCACCCCCCCCCCCCCCCCTCAGTATTAGGTATTCTGTCTGTCTGCCCCCCCCTCCTCCACCCTCAATATTGGGTATTCTGTTTGCCCACCCTCCATTTTAGGTATTCTGTTTGTCCACCCTCCGTGTTGGGTATCTTGTCTGCCCACCCTCAGTGTTGGGTATTGTCTGTCTACCCACTCTTAGTGTTTGGTATTGTCTGTCTGCCCACCCTCAGTGTTTGGTATTGTCTGTCTGCCCACCATCAGTGTTGGGTATTCTGTCTGTCTGCCCACCCTTAATTTTGGGTATTCTGTCTGCCTCCCCCCCCCCCTCAGTATTGGGTATTCTGTCTGTCTGCCCCCCCCCCCTCCTCCCCTCAATATTGGGTATTCTGTTTGCCCACCCTCCATTTTAGGTATTCTGATTGTCCACCCTCAGTGTTGGGTATTTTGTCTGCCCACCCCCAGTGTTGGGTATTCTATCTGCCCCTCCCCCTCAGTGTTGGGTATTCTGTCTATCTGTCTGCCCCTCCTCCCTCAGTGTTGGGTATTCTGTCTGTTTCGCCCCCCCCCCCCTCAGTGTTGGGTATTCTGTCTATCTGTCTGACCCTCCCCCCTCAGTGTTGGGTATTCTGTCTGCCCACCCCCAGTGTTGGGTATTCTGTCTGCCCCTCCCCCCTCAGTGTTGGGAATTCTGTCTGTTTTTCACCCCCCCCCCCCCCCCCTTTTTCAGTGTTGGGTATTCTGTCTGCCCACCCTCAGTGTTGGGTATTCTGTCTGTCTACCCATCCTCGTTGTTGAGTTTATGTGATAAATTGAGTTTGCTTAACTTGTTCTTCCCAGAAGACAACATCCGAGGCAGATGTGTTTGCCAAACCTGTGGAAGTGCCAGCTGAGAAACCTGAGAAGACATAAAGTCTGAGACATCTTTGTTATCTCTGATGGGATGAGACAGCTTTGTTATCTGTGATGGGATGAGACAGCTTTGTTATCTGTGGTGGGATGAGACAGCTTTGTTATCTGTGATGGGATGAGACAGCTTTGTTATCTGTGATGGGATGAGACAGCTTTGTTATCTGTGATTGGCTGAGACAGCTTTGTTATCTGTGATTGGCTGATGGGATTTATCAATGGATTCAGGACAGTAGCTGGCACACAGAGCTGGACATTTGCAACACTTCCTGTTTGCAGTGATTGGTTGTCATCATTTAATCCCAGTTTTTTGTTGTTTTCTGTGTGTTGCTTATTGAAGCACTAGCCACATGGATTAGATGGGCCACATGGATTAGTTGAGCCACATGGATTAGATGGGCCATATGGATTAGTTGGGTCACCTGCATTAGTTGGACCACATAGACTAGTGGGCCACATAGATTAGTTAGGCCGCATGGATTAGATGGCACCTGGATAATTTGGTACCTGGATTAGTTGGACCACATGGATTAGTGGGCTACATAGATTAATTGGGTGATATAAATCAATTGGCTGTCTGAGATGTGTGTTGTTTATTAAGCACTAGCCAGGTGGATTAGTTGTGTCAGACAAACTGTCACCCCAGTTGTCTGCTATGGAACATGTCATTAATGAACATTTTCTCTTGTGGAGAGAAAAGCTGTAGCTTGATGATAGCCATTGGGTGAGTGACACCAGTCAGTGTGAGCTGTTGGGTGAGTGACACCAGTTAGTGTGAGCTGTTGAGTGAGTGACACCAGTTAGTGTGAGCTGTTGAGTGAGTGACACCAGTTAGTGTGAGCTGTTGAGTGAGTGACACCAGTTAGTGTGAGCTGTTGAGTGAGTGACACCAGTTAGTGTGAGCTGTTGAGTGAGTGACACCAGTTAGTGTGAGCTGTTGGGTGAGTGACACCAGTTAGTGTGAGCTGTTGGGTGAGTGACACCAGTTAGTGTGAGCTGTTGAGTGAGTGACACCAGTTAGTGTGAGCTGTTGAGTGAGTGACACCAGTTAGTGTGAGCTGTTGAGTGAGTGACACCAGTTAGTGTGAGCTGTTGAGTGAGTGACACCAGTTAGTGTGAGCTGTTGAGTGAGTGACACCAGTTAGTGTGAGCTGTTGAGTGAGTGACACCAGTTAGTGTGAGCTGTTGAGTGAGTGACACCAGTTAGTGTGAGCTGTTGAGTGAGTGACACCAGTTAGTGTGAGCTGTTGAGTGAGTGACACCAGTTAGTGTGAGCTGTTGAGTGAGTGACACCAGTTAGTGTGAGCTGTTGAGTGAGTGACACCAGTTAGTGTGAGCTGTTGAGTGAGTGACACCAGTTAGTGTGAGCTGTTGAGTGAGTGACACCAGTTAGTGTGAGCTGTTGAGGTGAGTGACACCAGTTAGTGTGAGCTGTTGAGTGAGTGACACCAGTTAGTGTGAGCTGTTGAGTGAGTGACACCAGCTGTTTAGTGTGAGCTGTTGAGTGAGTGACACCAGTTAGTGTGAGCTGTTGAGTGAGTGACACCAGTTAGTGTGAGCTGTTGAGTGAGTGACACCAGTTAGTGTGAGCTGTTGAGTGAGTGACACCAGTTAGTGTGAGCTGTTGAGTAAGTGACACCAGTTAGTGTGAGCTGTTGAGTAAGTGACACCAGTTAGTGTGAGCTGTTGAGTAAGTGACACCAGTTAGTGTGAGCTGTTGAGTGAGTGACACCAGTTAGTGTGAGCTGTTGAGTGAGTGACACCAGTTAGTGTGAGCTGTTGAGTGAGTGACACCAGTTAGTGTGAGCTGTTGAGTGAGTGACACCAGTTAGTGTGAGCTGTTGAGTGAGTGACACCAGTTAGTGTGAGCTGTTGGGTGAGTGACACCAGTTAGTGTGAGCTGTTGAGTGAGTGACACCAGTTAGTGTGAGCTGTTGAGTGAGTGACACCAGTTAGTGTGAGCTGTTGAGTGAGTGACACCAGTTAGTGTGAGCTGTTGAGTGAGTGACACCAGTTAGTGTGAGCTGTTGAGTGAGTGACACCAGTTAGTGTGAGCTGTTGAGTGAGTGACACCAGTTAGTGTGAGCTGTTGAGTGAGTGACACCAGTTAGTGTGAGCTGTTGAGTGAGTGACACCAGTTAGTGTGAGCTGTTGAGTAAGTGACACCAGTTAGTGTGAGCTGTTGAGTAAGTGACACCAGTTAGTGTGAGCTGTTGAGTAAGTGACACCAGTTAGTGTGAGCTGTTGAGTAAGTGACACCAGTTAGTGTGAGCTGTTGAGTAAGTGACACCAGTTAGTGTGAGCTGTTGAGTAAGTGACACCAGTTAGTTGAGCTGTTGAGTGTGAGCTGTTGAGTGAGTGACACCAGTTAGTGTGAGCTGTTGAGTGAGTGACACCAGTTAGTGTGAGCTGTTGAGTGAGTGACACCAGTTAGTGTGAGCTGTTGAGTAAGTGACACCAGTTAGTGTGAGCTGTAGTGAGTGACACCAGTTAGTGTGAGCTGTTGAGTGAGTGACACCAGTTAGTGTGAGCTGTTGAGTGAGTGACACCAGTTAGTGTGAGCTGTGGGTGAGTGACACCAGTTAGTGTGAGCTGTTGAGTGAGTGACACCAGTTAGTGTGAGCTGTTGAGTGAGTGACACCAGTTAGTGTGAGCTGTTGAGTGAGTGACACCAGTTAGTGTGAGCTGTTGAGTGAGTGACACCAGTTAGTGTGAGCTGTTGAGTGAGTGACACCAGTTAGTGTGAGCTGTTGAGTAAGTGACACCAGTTAGTGTGAGCTGTTGAGTGAGTGACACCAGTTAGTGTGAGCTGTTGAGTGAGTGACACCAGTTAGTGTGAGCTGTTGAGTGAAGTGACACCAGTTAGTGTGAGCTGTTGAGTGAGTGACACCAGTTAGTGTGAGCTGTTGAGTGAGTGACACCAGTTAGTGTGAGCTGTTGAGTGAGTGACACCAGTTTGGGTGAGCTGTTGAGTGAGTGACACCAGTTAGTGTGAGCTGTTGAGTGAAGTGACACCAGTTAGTGTGAGTGAAAACCAGTTTTTGAGTGAGTGAGGTGAGTGTGACCAGTTAGTGTGAGCTGTTTTTTTTAGTGACACCAGTTAGTGTGAGCTGTTGAGTGAGTGACACCAGTTAGTGTGAGTGTTGAGTGACACCAGTTAGTGGTGAGTTGAGTGAGTGACACCCAGTTAGTGTGGTGAGCTGTTGGGGTGAGTGACCACCAGTTTTTTTTAGTGGTGAGTTGACAGCTGGGAGTTGAGTTGAGTGGACACCACCAGTTTAGTTTTAGTGTGGTGAGCTGTTTTTGAGTGAGTGACCACTAAATTTAAAGTTTATTGGGTGGGGTGGGCAGTAGTTTTTTAGTCCCCAGTACTGCCAAGCCTTTTTTTTTATATGAGTAACACCAATTAGTATTGATAGCACTTCTGTTAGAAATTCCTGCATCTCTACATTGTGTGTGAATTTTGCTGCTTTAGTTTTCTAAATATTTCTGTACAAGATGATTTCCTGAGTTATTACATGTTGCTGTTTTCTGCTTAAAATCAATATTCATATTTGTTGTTAGGAGCTGATGTTTATTAAACTGTTCACACCTCCTAGTTTGGTGAGATTTAGTTATTTAACACTCATGTTGATGACATTTTAGCTGTTTTCAGAGACCATTTGAGATTTGCCACTTAATTTAAAACTTTTACAACTGTCAGGTTTTTTTTTGCTGTTTTTTATCTTAAAAACCCATCATACCTCTATTTCGCTAAATGTACCTGAAAGCTTTAAGAAATGCCACCTATGTCTCAAATACGATGAAGGAAGAGTCCCCAACTGCACCTCCTCGTAGAGAATGTTGAAACACCGCCGGAATAAGTGGACAGTCTACACCCCCCACCTAGCAACCTGGAGCAGGGACAAGGGACTGCACCTGGGGACAAGGGTACTCACTTGTCCTGGACTGCTAAGTGGACCCATTTTGCCAAACCTGAAAATAAGGGGGAACACTTGTCCTTGCTGAAAACCTGAGCAGGGAGCCCAAGGGGGTCCTGACTCATAAACTTGCACCCCCCTGACTGCTGAAATAAGGAAAAATAAGGGTTCGACAGTCCTTGCACCTGAGCAGACAGGGGCACTGAGGGGACAGGGGCACTCTTGTCCTGACTGCTGAAAAATAAGGGGGACATTTTGCACCTGAGCAGACAGGGGGGCCACTCCCAACTCCACTTGTTCCCCCCCTGACTGCTGAAAAATAAAACTTGGGGGGGACAGTGCCACCTTGAGGCAGCAGGGACAGGGGGGCACTCCACTTGTCCCTGACTGAAACTGCTGAAATAAGTCGACAGTGCACCTGAGCAGACAGGGGCACTCACTTGTCCTGACTGCTGAAATAAGTGGACAGTGCACCTGAGCAGACAGGGGCACTCACTTGTCCTGACTGCTGAAATAAGTCGACAGTGCACCTAAGCAGACAGGGGTACTCACTTGTCCTAACTGCTGAAATAAGGACAGTGCACCTGAGCAGACAAGGGTACTCACTTGTCCTGACTGCTGAAATAAGGACATTGCACCTGAGCAGACAGGCCCACTCACTTGTCCTGACTGCTGAAATAAGGACATTGCACCTGAGCAGACAGGGGCACCCACTCCCACTGCTGTCCCTGACATTGACCTGCTGAAAATTACTAAGGGGACATTGCACCTGAAATAAGGACATTGCACCTGAGCAGACAGGGGCACTCACTTGTCCTGACTGCCAGAAATTGCTGTCTAAGGAAGTGGTTCAAATTACCCTTGGGTGGATGTGGAAGGCAGCGGGAAACCACCACATTATATTCCTAAGAAATTCATGCAACAAAACAGTTCAAATCCCATGAAAGAAGTTAATGGAGGTCTTAGGACAGCATCATCCGGTAGGGACAGTCATGAGCCACATGTGACACCAGACCATCGTCAGGTGTCTGCTGGTCAAATTAACAAGTTGGGTATAGGGACATGGAATGAAAGAACATTACT